AAAGCGTTTTTTTAACATACCCATGCTCTCAATAAATACTTTTTGCGAACATTTCTTCTTTTCCTCATACCTTTCAAACTAAACCAAAAGCTGGTTAATTTAATGGCGGAAGGAAGCGAAGGTTGAATTAAAATCAAAACTGCCTTTTCCTTAATTACCAGTGGTTTGGGTTGGTTTATATGATTACGGAAAGCCTCCAGGGTTAAATGCCTAAGAGGAGGGATGCCTTCATGGAGGGCTTGCTAAGGGAAACTGGCTGTGCGAAACAGTATTATGTTGCCAACATTTCTTAAAACCGTATCATGTTGCCAACATTTCTTAAAAGTTAAATTGCTGTCAATCCATGTTTCATCGATGTAAACGATGTGGCGTTCATTTGCTCTGACTTTTCTCATTTCGCGTAAATAATTGTTCCTCCAAAATACAATGTGAGGTCTTTCGATAAGAATTTTTTTTTTTTTTTTTCTTTCCAACGAAAATTCATTGAACACAAAACTTTGCACAAAGAGTCTTTTTGCCATGGGAAGTCTATTTTTTGCCTCAAGACAGACAGTAATTTCCGCACAGATGGCCCTTTCTTTTCTTTGATGTAAAAGTCTTGTATTGTCTGCCGTAGAACGCATTTGTCAAAATCGTCAATTTCACACTTATGATTAGCAGGGCTTTTACATTTCTTTCCAAGTGTATTCAGAAGTTTATTTTCACCCATTGTTGATACTTTGCTCTTCAAAACTTAAGGAAGAGGAACAACTAAAGAGTTTGCCGAAGCTTCAGAAGCGCAAAATTCTGCGACACTATACACGATTTGACGTGACTGAGACTTTAAAGGTTGACCTTTCTTAAACTGGAAGGGCATTTTAAAAAATTGGCGATTAACAAAGCACTACGAAAATCAAGCTAAATAGAAGCGAATTTGAGCAAATGCTAGCACAAAAGATATAACAACGAGAATAAAAAGAGCTAATAGTAATAATATAAGGCTTAAGAAAAGATGCGTGCAGCTGGAATGAAGCCGAGAAGACGAATGATAAACTTCCCTTAAGCCAACAGTCGCCAAAAACAAAATAACAATAAAGCAACCCTTGGTTCGTCCCTATTTGAAATATACTAGCCCTGTTGCTATAGCGACCGCCACTCGCCAGACACCGTGGCGGGAGCTGTTCTTACCGTAGACAGACAGTACACAGCGTTCTGTTTAAACTTAAAAAAACATCTACGAATTGCACAATCTAGGCATTGTGCACTAATCAACAAAATAAACTAAATTTCAAACAATTAAAAAAAAACAACAATAATGACAGATATTCATACTAAAAAAACAATGAACATAACATTCTATGAAATAAGAACATGAATAAAATAAAATGCACTCCATGAATGAATGCTTCTTCGAACAGCAGAAATACCATTTTCAAACATCACCAAAACTTTGTTAAAAGCATCTTCTCGTGTTTCAGAAAAAAGATGGAAAAATATATAAACCACCAAATAAAACACAAAATCGCATATCCGATTATAAGTAGGCAATATAGCTTTAATATGGCGCCACGTAATCTCTATCCTATTTATATGACAGCCAGACTCACTATCCACAAAACTGATATCATCTTTCATAAATATTCAAAATTTTCTTCTTTTAAATACTTGCAGAATTTCCAGCCACCCAAAAAAATAGTTGTACCAGGCATGCTACTAAAATTTTGCCAACATGTCATAAGTCAATTAGCATACACCACATGAACCAAGTAGCAAATCCAAGTTTCCACATAAAAAGAGTTGCCAGAGAAACCAACATCGCCCCCAAAACCATCGCAGAACACTCATCGCATGAAATACAAGCGCACAACACATATCGCCGCATTTGGCAACCTGAGGGCGCATACAAGAGTAGTAATTTTTCTAATATATATCACTGGTAAGAAGCCCGGCGGAGCAGTGGCTAGCGCATCGTGCAGCAGCACCACAGCTTCGGGGTTCGATCCCCAGGCTGGGCAAGGATCCTTAGCCTTTCATCCCTTAGGTCGATGAAACGAGTACCAAGTTCGCTTGGGGACTATATACTGGGGTCCTGCGACAAGCTGAAAACTTGTTCAGGACATATGCTTATGCACCATAGGGCCCACGGTCAAGATAGCAGATTTCGGGGCACTGCAGGCATTGGCCCACTAGGGTTGTTATGCCACTGAGTTTAGTTAAGTTTTTTTTTCAGGTTAAATGTGTTGCAACTCAATTCTTGCTGAGATCCGATGGCTGAGTGATGTCATCTCGAACTATCAACTCTCGCTAGAGATCACGAGAACTCGGGACTGAGAAGTCGCACGCTGCGTCGTGTGAACATTTAAACCTTTTCATTATGTAAATATCCTGTAACCGTTTGCGTCTTCATTAAATATGTCTGTGTTTAAGAAAGTTTATCATTTATGGATTATCTCTCTCAAGATTTTGCAGATGCACAATACAGAGGAATTTCAGCCCATCGGCCCTGGCCGAACCCATTGGAACAAGGTAAGCAGTTTTGTTTTACCTTGATTAATTAGTTAGAAGTAAGATAAAGATTTATAAAATAATAATATTGTGGCGCCATAGGGTTGAATTTGAACTGAAATTTAATAGATTTTGCTTAAGCAAAAACATGGATTTAGAAAAATTAAAAAAGAAACGATCTGCTATAAGAGCAGTAGTTACGAGGCTAATAAATAAAATAGAAACAGAAATTGCTAATGAGGGGGATAAAAATGTAATTGAAGAAACGGTTGCTCAGTTAATTAGTAAAGAAGAAGAACTAATCTTAGCGGATAATGGTATTGAAACTTTAATTGATGTAGCAAATTTAGAAGATGAAATAATGTCTAGAGAAGAGTATAAAAGTAAAATTATTATTTGGAAATTACGCGCGAAAAGATATTTAGATACTAATCCACATAGCGCTAATTCTACTTCATATGGAAATGTCACTGAATCGCAGAACAAAATTAAACTCCCCAAATTGGCACTGGAAACATTTTCGGGAAAGGACGTGTGCAGTTGGCCCGGGTTTTGGGCACGATTTGAGACAGCTGTACACGAAAACGAAAGTCTACATGCCGTAGATAAATTTAACTATTTAAAGTCAATTCTTACTTCCGATGCAGAAACTGCAATACAAGGGTTGAAATTAATAGCAGAGAATTACGAGAAGGCTGTGAAAATATTAAAAGATCGCTTCGGACGCAAAGAACTAATAATAGATACCCATATGAACAATTTATTAACTCTGACTCCGGTTAAAAGGTCTGGCGATGTGACAGCACTTCGAAAATTATATGATCGTTGTGAAGTACAAATTAGAGGATTAGAATCGTGTAATATTTTACCGGATTCGTACAGTACCTTATTGTATCCGATATTAATAAAGGTGATTCCGAATGATTTAGCACTAGAATTTAATAGGAAATATGAAGATGATAATCAGACAAAAATTACGAATTTGCTCCATTTTCTAAGAAAAGAAATAGAAAGTCGAGAACGTACAGGATTTTTAATTAAGCCAACAGATTCTGAAGTCACTGAAAAGAAATCCCATTTGGAAAATAAGCGGCAGTTTGGAGAACGTTTTCGAGACAGCGAAAGAAATCGGGATTATAATAAGGGTAGAATTCCTTCAGCGGCAGCGTTAAACACATCACTATCTAATAGCTGTTTATTCTGTTCTGAAAATCATACGTCAGAATCATGTCAAAAAACTGTGCCAGAAAAAAGGGAAGCGTTAAGGCGAAGGGGATTTTGTTTCAGGTGCCTCAAAGGATACCATTTAGCGAGGATGTGCAAATCGAAACTAACTTGTGGTATTTGCGATCGGCGACATCATACATTGATACACTCTGACGAAACGAATGCGTCAGACAAGAGTCCCGTCCAAAGGGCAGTAGTCTCTTCTGTTTCCGATTGCGCAACAGCAAATAACTCATTTTCTTCTGACAGCACGAGCTGAAATTATAAACACAGGCAATTGGCGCCAGCAAAGCGTTCGCTTGTTGTTTGATTTAGGATCGCAGCGAACATTTATTAGAGAGGACATCTGTAAGAAATTAAAACTTCCCGTTATTGGAGAAGAAAAAATAAAAATATTCTCTTTCGGCTGCACGACGTCTGAAGCGCAGAATGTTAAAAAAAAACCAGGCTCATTTTGCGTAATTCGAAGAATCGATATGAAATCAAAATAGAAGCTTTAATTATTCCTGTCATTAATGGATCACATATTCATTCCCCTAGAAATGAAATAGTTAATCTTATTAAAAAACAGGGCATACAACTTTCCGATGAATGGGGACCAGGGAATAAACCGCCGAAAATTTCTTTGCTGATAGGAGCGGATTTTTATTGGAAAATAGTTACGGGTAAGGTTCACAGACTGTCTAATTCCTTAGTAGCGGTTGAAACAAAATTGGGTTGGACCATTAGTGGAACAGAAAAGGGCTTACGGAATTTCACAAACTAATGTGAATACGATGAAGGTTGTGGTTCATAATAATAAAGATACACAGAACGAATCACTGTCTAGTTTGCTGAAGAATCTCTGGGAGCTCGATTCTATGGGGATAAATTATGATTCGGATAAGGAACTCGAATTAGAAGATAATTTAGTTTTCGATAATTTCAAAAGATCTGTGAAATTTGAAAACAATCGTTATATTGTGCGCCTTCCTTGGAATCATAATTCAAATGAGCTAGGAGATAATCTGGAGATTGCTAAAATTAGATTTAAGAGTTTAAGTCGTAGATTTCAGAATAATCAACAGTTCTATGACAGATATCGCGAAGTAATTGATAGGTACTTAAAAGAAGGAATCGCCGAAGAGACTAACATTGAAATTGGACCAAAAACGTATTTTATTTTATGCCGCATCAAGCCGTTATAAGAGAAAAACAAGGAAACTACAAAACTCCGTGTGGTTTTTGACGCTTCGTCACATGCGGAGAATTGTTTGTCATTAAATGACTGTTTACATTCAGGCCCTAAGATGTGTCCAGACATACTGGAATTGCTCCTTAAGTTCCGTCAAAATCGAATTGCATTTACAGCTGACATCGAACAAGCATTCTTGCAGATTTCTCTTGCTGATGAAGATGGAAACGCAGTCAAGTTTCTATGGAACGATGGTGAATTAAATGGAACCAAAACAAAGGCTCTTCGTATGACAAGGGTAATTTTTGGAGCAACATCTAGTCCGTTTCTTCTCAGAGCAACTCTTAATGTACATGTTGACAAATACAAGTTACAGTATCCGAACGTATTTTCCATGCTAACTGAAAATATGTATGTTGACGATTTAATCGCTGGAGCAGATGAAGAATCAGAAGCATTCGAGGAATCGGAACATATTAAACGCATACTGAAAGAAGGTGGATTTAACATGCGGAAGTGGAAAACGAATGAAACGAATTTACAAAGGGTATGGAATGAAGAAGATTTTTCACACGATTCGACTTGTTCTAAAGTATTGGGATACATATGGAATAGGTGAAATGATACATTTTTGATAGAAATTGAAGAGTTGGTACAAGATGCCAAAAGAATAGATAACATACACACTAAAAGGGAAATCTTGAGATTTGTAGGACGTTTCTTTGATCCCCTGGGGTTTTTAAATCCATACACTATTCGAGGTAGGATTTTATTGCAAGATTTATGGGAACAAAAGATAGCATGGGACACTGAAATACCAGAAAATCTCAGAAAGAATTGGCAAAGCTGGTGTGATGAATTAGCTCATATTTCTAGTTTGGAAATACCAAGACATCAGTTTGCAGGTGCTGGGAAAAGGGATATAAAGGATGGTTTACAGTTACACTGTTTCACAGATGCGAGTCAGAAGGCCTATGGGGCTGTTCTGTATTTTCGTTATTCGAAAAATGGAGTCATTCATACAAGTTTCATTACATCAAAATCACGAGTAGCACCTTTGAAAAAATTATCACTTCCCAGATTGGAATTGATGGGTGCTTTGATAGGCTCTCGCGCTTGTCAAAATTACATTCAAAAGAAACTTCGGGACATTGATTTAATTGTATATATGTGGACTGATTCTAGTATAACGTTACATTGGATTAGAAGTGATGTGAAAAGGTGGAAGCCATTCGTTCAGAACAGAGTGAAGGAAATACAGAAGAATTCAGATGTCTTGAACTGGAGATATACGCCTGGTGAACATAATCCAGCTGATTTACTAACTAGAGGTGAAAATGTCAAACATCTGAAGCAGAATAGCATATGGTGGGAAGGGCCCACGTGGTTGAAAGAAGAAATGGAACACTGGCCAAAACCGAATTTATGTTCCACAAAGAACATTGAAGATTCCAACAAGGAACTAAGAAAAACAAAGGAAGTTTTCGTAAATGCATGCGTTACCGAACCTTCCGAAGATTTATTTAAAACCCAAAATTACAGCAATTTACACAGAATTTACTCGAATTACTGCGTGGTGCTTAAGGTTCATCAACAATGTTAAAAAAATACCTCGAAATTATCAGGATGTTTGCAGGTTACCGAATTGGAAATGGCAGAAAACTTATTGGATCAAACGTGTTCAGGAGCGAAATTTTACAAATGAAATACGGGCATTGAAGAACAACGAGGAATTAAGTTTCAGAATCAAAACTAAGGTCCCTCAATCCATTTGTAGATGAAAGTGGTGTAATTCGTGTTGGTGGACGATTAGAAAATTCAAATTTGGATTACAAACAAGCACATCCAATCGTGTTGCCCGACAAAGATCACTTGACTGATCTAATTATTTTTCACAGTCATCAGGTGGTAGGGCACGGAGGAATAGCAGATACCTTAAATCAGACAAATTTTGGTTGCTGAAGGCTCGTCGAAAAATTAAAAGTGTTCTGTACAATTGCAATGTCTGCAAAATATTTCGAACTAAAACTGTCATGCAAGATATGGCACCTCTCCCACCAGACAGATGCCGAGAAGCCTTTCCGTTTGAGAACTCCGGAATAGATTACGCGGGTCCACTGTACGTCAAAGGTGGAAAAGAATTATCTAAGACATACGTTTTACTGTTTACCTGTGCTGTAACTAGAGCCGTGCATTTAGAACTTACGGCTGACCTTTCCACAGAAAATTTTTGCTTGCATTTAGACGGTTCATAGCGAGAAGAGGTTTGTGCCGAATAGTGTATACCGATAACGCCAAAACCTTTAAAAGAGCGAAAAAAGAATTAGAGCTATTGAACGAGGTGATGAAAAGCAATAAAGTTCAAGACGAGTTCTCTAAGCAAGGAATCAAATGGAAATTTATAGTTGAGAGGGCGGCATGGTGGGGAGGCTTTTGGGAGCGTATGGTTCAGTCTCTTAAAGCACTTCTGAAGAGAATCTTAGGTAAATCATCCTTAACATTTAGGGAATTAGAGACAGTCATAACAGAAGTGGAAGCTATATTGAACTCCAGACCTTTGACATTTACATACTCGGATCTAGGAGAGCCAGAATCTTTGACCCCTGGTCACTTCTTAATAGGAAGACGATTACTATCATTGCCACAAGGAAGCTCTAAATTAACTTCAACAAAGGAGAGTCTTACACGTCGATTTAGACATCAACAGATACTGGTAGAAAGAATCTGGCGAAAATGGAGGCAGGATTATTTGATGAATTTAAAATCTGCTCATCATTCCAAACTGGCGAAAACAGGAACCTGTTTGAAGAAAGGAACTATTGTATTAGTGCATGAAGATAAAATTCCACGGCTGATGTGGCATCATAATGGAAGTCTTTCCTGGGAGAGATGGCAAGGTGAGAGCCTGTGCTGTCCGCTTGCCCAATGGACATACGATTAAAAGACCAGTGCAATTACTATATCCGGTGGAGCTGGAATGTAATAAGGACAATTACGGCAATTGTCCTTCCGGGCGGGAGGATGTTGCAACTCAACTCTTGCTGAGATCCGATGGCTGAGTGACGTCATCTCGAACTATGAACTCTCGCTAGAGATCACGAGAACTCGGGACTGAGAAGTCGCACGCTGCGTCGTGCGAACATTTAAACCTTTTCATTATGTAAATATCCTGTAACCGTTTGCGTCTTCATTAAATATGTTTGTGTTAAGAAAGTTTATCATTTATGGATTATCCCTCTCAAGATTTTGCAGATGCACAACACAGAGGAATTTCAGCCCATTGGCCCTGGCCGAACCCATTGGAACAAGGTAAGCAGTTTTGTTTTACCTTGATTAATTAGTTAGAAGTAAGATAAAGAATATAAAATAATAATAAAATGTAATAAACAATTGACTCACAAGCATGTAAACACATAGATCAAAGAAAACTGAGTGATCTCACGAGGGGATTCCCTTAGTCGAGCCAGATCGGGAAATGACGTCACACATACCAACAGTCTGGCTCATTGCTTGTTACTCGAATCAATGCTCGTATTTAGAGACTAAATTTTTGCTCGTACTTTCCTCATATCTCGTGTATAGAGATGCTCGGATCTCATGATTACGCTATATTTGACAAAAAGCACAGTGGAAATAATAAAAATAACCAAACAAAAATTTATAGAAATGCTTAACCAGGTTAAATGGGTTGTCATGGGTAACAAAATCTCTCGCAGAATTGCACAGTTACAATACCATGCAAAAAATTGCCAAAATTGGCAGGTGGCTTGTCTAGCACATTTGTACCATGACTTCCCACAGAAATGCGCACCTGTACACCTTTTGGTCTGATGTAATCATATAATGGAAGATGAAAATAGCTTAGCGAAAATATGAACTAATAATGATTTGCGGTTTTCAAACTTTATTTTGTAACTCCCAAAAGCCCATAAACGTTTTGCGAAAATATGAACTAATAATGATTTGCGATTTTCAAACCTTATTTTCTCTTACCGTACTGTTCGAAAAGTAAACAGAAAATTTCCCTTTTCCTCCTTCAGAAAAATTCCCTGTGTGGGTTGCAACAATTATCAGGGTTGTCATATTTTGGCGCCAGTACGCTTTCTTCCTATGTGAACAAATCCAAAATTTCGCCAAGTGCCGGTTATGGAAACCATCCCCGAAAATAGTCTCTTATATAGAACCGTATTTGTTAACAGAATCAGATTTGAATGCATTTTCCCTAGGGTTTTCATCCACAGAGAACCCGTTGGGGCCGTTGGATTTTTACTCGCCAAGCTTGCGGTTCATCGACGATGAGCCGAGCCGTAAACGTGATTTTTAGTGCATGTAAATTCAAGTTAGCAGATAAAACAATATATTAAGCATATGGTAGTAATAATTCAGGTTTAATACTAGTATCCGGTGCACATGGGATTTGGCTACTTTTGGCGACTTCTATAATGAGCAGTAAAAACAGGACATATACGATGAGTAGTAAATGGGTCATTCAATGAATATAATAGTTATACATAGTATATACTATGTATATAGTGTATAGTATATACGTAGACATTCTTTAGGTCATTTTTGGTGTTGGCGATAATTTTCAAAAAAGCGCCAAGGCTGCACCATATACTAGGATTTTACCAAAATTCACAGATAATAAGCATGTAGATGTAAAACTAAACGGATAAACGTGATATACAATAATAAATTTGTATTAAATTCAAGTTAGCACAGAAAAGAATATATTATTAAACAAAAGACAATATATAAGCATTTATAACGGAAATAAAAATTCATTAAAAAATATAAATTAGTATTAATGTACTGAAATTAACCGATTAAACGTGATATACGAAAAAAATTTGACTTAAATTCCAGTTAACACAGAAAACAATATATTCCTTACACCAGCAGTGGTTTGCTAATTTTGATGACCATGGTGATGCATCAAACTATTCTGTCATCTTAGATAATAATATTTTTTTATTTCAATTTAATCATCTATCTATGTCCCGCCTGCCATCCGCTGAAAGGTTATTGTCAGAAAAGCATTAACAATATATTATCTTGTTTAAATTTTACGCCATAAAAATTGATTTATTCTCAGAATTTTAGATGACAATAACCAATAATAAAAATAAAAGCATTACTTAATTATTTAAAATGCACATTTTTGCGGTCTACGAAAACAAATTATTTTAGACGTTGGAAACCTCATGGTTCTTAGAGTTGTTAATAATTAAGAACACAACTGAACAGCTATGTTACAAATTAGCATTCACCCCTCCTTTCATCCCGAACCGAGAACCGCCATCTATCTATGAAAATATTTCTATCTATTCGTTGTTAAAAAATTCAGAAAAAATAATAATAATAAAAGAAGACGCAAATGCGAACAATGACAGTGATAATTCAACAAAATAAACCCAAGAGGAATGGTTGCATACTTCGAACAAGCGAATAGGATATATCCGATGGGTTACCAGGTTTAAACTATTATCGCCAAAGTTGGCGATGTTTACATTTACCGGGTTCTCTGTGGAAGTGCTTCCTTTTCCAGTATGATTATATAGTCCATGTATCACGATCACAGAGTGTTTGATTTTTCTCACTTTGTTTTCGGACGTCACTTTTTCGTTGTTTTTTCTTATGCTTTCATTCATCTTTGCTCGAGGTCTTCTACGAAGCTCCAAATTTTTAATTTTACAAATTAAGCGGAAGCACTTCCGCAGAGAACCCGGTAAATGTAAACATCACCAACATTTGCGATAATAGTTCAAACCTGGTAACCCAGCGGATTTATGGTATTCGCTTGTTCGAAGTTTGCAACCATTCCTCTTGCGTTCATTTTGTTGAATTATCACTGTCATTGTTCGCATTTGCAGATTTACACTAATCTTCTCTTATTTATTATTATTTTTTCTGAATTTTTTAACAACGAATAGATAGAAATATTTTCGTAGATAGATGCCGGTTTTCGGTTCGGGATGAAAGGAAGAAAATACGGCGGGAGGAATGAATGCTAATTTGTAACACGGCTGTTCACGTTGTGTTCTTAATTATTAACAGCTCTAAGAACGAGCAATTTAAATAACTAAGTAATGCTTTTATTTTTATTATTGGTTATTGTCATCTGAAATTATGAGAATAAATCAATTTTTCTGGCATAAAATTTAAACAAGATAATATATTGTAATTGCTTTTCTAACTATAATCTTTCAGAGGATGGCAGGTGTGACATAAATAGATGATTAAATTGAAATAAAAAAGATTATTGATTATCTAAGATGACAGAATAGTTTGATGCATCACCATGGTCATCAAAATTAGCAAACCACTGCTGGTGTGGAAATTAAGACAAATTTTTTTCGTTTATCACGTTTAACCGGTTAATTTCAGTATATTAATACTATTTTATATTTTTTAAAAGAATTTTTATTTCCATTATAAATGCTTATATATTGTCTTATGCTTAATAATATATTCCTTTCTGTGCTAACTTGAATTGAATACAAATTTATTTTCGTATATCACGTTTAACCGTTTAGTTTTACATCTACATGCATATTACCTGTGAATTTTTACTACCATATGCTTAATATATTGTTTATCTGCTAACTTGAATTTACATGCACTAAAAATCAATTATGTATTTAAACTCTTACTCATTTAATTATTTAGCACATTCAGTTATATTGGTTGATCTTTACAATATGGTAACTGGTAGTTTGGCGACATTTTGGAGACGATAAAGGTTACTACCTGGGACTTTGGTAATAATGTGAGCAGTACTCAGTTCCGATTACGCATTATTTTGCGTGAGGGAAATGAGAGATCATGGGATATGTCATGTGATATTAATGGACGAATTACGGTTCTTTAATCGGAAAAGGGGGAAATCGGGAAAAAATGTGGAAATTTTGTATTTAGCTTTATTCTGTGTTGTGTGAAACAGTGTTGTTTAATTTTTGGATCCCATGGCCCTAACTAAAGTGAATTCGAAATGGGTATTTAGGCGTGATAAAGAGAAGTTTGCTTTTTATTTAGCGGAGGAAGTATGGAGGAAAAATTCGCAGAAAAAATCTTTCAATAATTTTATTGAATGAATTACAAAAGTGTATCCGCCACGTAATCAAGATTCTGAAGAAGATTAGGTAAGTTAGTATTTTTAATTATTTGAAGATATTATTTTTATGCATTGTTCTAAATGTAAGGTGGAAAGGAATTTGGTATTATTGGGAAAATTGTTATTAGCAATGATTTAGTT